TTTCTATTCTATTCTATTCTATTCTATTCTATTCTATTCTATTCTATTCTATTCTATTCTATTCTATTCTATTCTATATTTCAACTTGACACTGCTCAAGCCATTTGAAGACAGAACCATTATTATACAGTAGTTAACCCTGTAATAAATGTGTTACAGCTCTTCAGCATGCCAGCCAATCAGAGAGTTTGTTTTAAGATGTTCAGTTCCACTCTACCTCAACCCAATGGGCTTTCAGTGCCTCCATCCAATAATTAGCCATGATTAATTCTATGTCTATGCAGCACACCCAGTATATATTAGACGATCTTTCCTACTCTAAAACTCCTTTGGCAAACTCTAAACTTTCTTCAAGTCTTTAAACGCCTTCCCTTTTATACAGCGATAGTGTTGTTTCACTTTCAGAATTACTCTTAGCTGCAGGACGAGTCAGTTACCAGAAAACATAATAGCTCAGAGGCAGATATGGATTGGATCCTGGAATGTTAGTGATTGCAATTAATTCATTTATTAAAAGTACATCCAACAAGCTGGGGTTTTGCTGATAAAAAGGCGCACTTGCTCAACTTCTCCCATAAACAGAAGGACATTTCTTAAACTAGGAACAGAATATTAAATTTAATTTACTGGTTTTAATGCATTTCAGAAAAAAATAGGGTATTGTGTAACTTTTTCCAAATAAATCACAACTACTGGGATAAAACTCACTGCTGCTTTGAGTCCTGCATCCAGTGCTGAGTAAACCAATTTAAGGATTTGCACAAATTAAAAGAGGTTCAGAAAACAGCAAGGAATTAAGCCCTTTGAAGAGCGAGTGAAAAAACTTGCAGAAGGTTCACCTTGGGAAGACTGCAGAGGAACATGATAGCACTTGAAATGTGAAGGAAAAAAAAAGTGACAGAGAAGGTCCAGATCTATTTACTCTCATTCCAAAATGTAGGATACTGAATAATGGTTTTAAGTTACTGGAAAAGAGAACATTAAAAACAACGTCCTTAAAGTAAGGCAGTTTGGCAGCAGAACCCATGTCCCAGAAAAGTGGTGGGCTCCTTATCAATGGAGGTGTTCAAGTGAAGATTAGACAGACATTGGACTGAGGGATCCCTTCCAAACCTATGATTCTATTAAGGCCCAAGAAAACAAGAAAACCAAATGACCAGCTGACCCACCTCACCTAAGATCCTTCCTAAGGTCCTCACACCTCAACACGCTGCAGCCATAACTTCATCTCTGAACGATACAGAACTTTGTTTTGCTTTGGCCAGCTTTAGCATTGTCAATTACCTCATATTAAACCACACAATACCTTTAAGACTGTTACTCTTTTGAAGGAAATTAAACCACTGGTTTCCATCTGTGTTAGGTGGAGATACGAGATCATCATCTTCATCTTTTAAGTACTGAAAAGAAAATGATTTGAATAAGTATCTGAAAAAAATGCCAGCACTTTATGTTTTTATCCCAATTTGAAAAAGTGCCAGAATGTCTGCTTTTCCTCTTCTTTTGAATTGGAACCAGAAAACCTATTAAATGCCTAGTAATTTTGTTGTAAGGCCTTTGAAAAGTGGTTTATTGCCTAATCTCCAGTCTGTTTATCACAGCCTTCCTCAAAATGGCATGTTATCTTTGCAGAGTGGAACAATTTATCAGAAATGGTTATAAACCTTTGCTCCATGAAACCAGCAGCTACAATCAGTGCCTTGTGACTGAGAGTTGTTCATTAAGTGACACATTTTATGCCTCAATATGCATTCACAAGTCCTTCGGCCTTGCCATGGGAGAAACTCACTGCTTTTCTCTGACGGTATCGTGTTCGCAAAACACTTGTTTCACTTAGCAAGGTTTCAGAATGAATCCTTTCATCTACTCTGTGCTGCTACCTCTGAAACCAATGGATCCAGGGCCCAACCAGACACAGAAAAAAGGCCTACAAATTCCAAATGCCACACCCTAGCAAAGCATTGAGAAGGAATACCTCCTAGTGAGAAACAATTATGCTTAATCCTTTTGTCATCACCTAATTTTATTCTTACTGCCACTCCCTCCCTGAATTGCATTTCAGAGATGCATGGGTGATTTTGCAAGAGAAAGCGATTGGCACAACATGGGATGAAGATCACCTGCTCCTGATCTTATATCTTCTCTAAAAACTGAACTTTCTTCCAACGTTCTTGCAGATGTTTGGTATCAATTAGCATTTCTCAACCCACAGCTGCTGACAAACAGTCTTATGAATGTCCACGAAACAAAATATATAGCTCCTTCTTTCAATTCTTCACAATAGCTATCCTTTTCTGCGTTTTATGGAGGTAATTCCAAGTGTCCTTACTAGAATGTAAATGCTAAGATTCCCCCTCACCCCCCCCCC